TGTCGGTAGGTGAGGAGGTATGTGTCTCAGAGCCTTAAGCTGATGATTATTTCTTGAGATGGGGCCGAATTGTGCTTGGTTTGGTTTGTCTGGCCTTGCCGTCCGCTATGGGCATTGCGCTAACCTTCGGTTTGGGCGGTTGCACCGTTGGCTTTTGTCGGCACTTTTCTGGGTGATGATTGTTTCTCTCTGGTGCGTTCGTGGGGTGCCTTATTATTTCAATCTTTGCCCAATATTCACTTCGTGGATTGTGGTTTGCAGTGGACGCGCTCTGTTTACGGGCTTACGGTGGGGGTGCAGGGAGTGATGAGCAAGGCAGTACTCTTCAACGAGGCGTTGTGGTTGTGGTATTCTATTGATGGTGCCTGTCGGCGTATCGTTGTTTTTTCTTTGCTTGATACAAGGTGCGTTGCCAAAAATGTGCGGGGAGAAGACAGCGGAAATTGCCTGTAATTTTATGAAGCTTGGACCCCTGTTTATCATTCCATCGGTGACTTTCAGGGCATGTTCTAAATTTGCTTTGAATCATCTTAAACCTCAATTGTCCATGACTGACTGCTGTTGTGGTCGGTTGTATTGTGGCACCTTTAGCTCAGTGCCTTTTGGCCCAGCGAGGTGTTCATGGTGCCATGCTGGGGGATGGTTGTCGTGGCTGGGGCACAGCGCGTAGTACCGATTGCTCGGACAACGCCTTGGGGATCGACCCGACAGACGCCAGGTAAACTCCGTATCAGAGAGGCACTGCAGTGGGGTGGCTTGAGCGAATATTTTTGCTTGACGATTCCCAGCTCTCTCTTCGTTGCTGCCGCTTTGGCCCCATCTATGTCGTTTGTGAGTGGAATTATTACCTTCGTTGTTGTTTTCTTGGCAGGATTATTGGTCTACTTGGAGTGAACGAAACATCGTTGCAAGTGGCGCATACTGTGCGGTGGATAGCACCATTTACACGTAGCGCTGAGAGCGCCCAGTACGGTTTTCAGGGCGTGTTCAGTGGAATGAGGCATAACGAAAAGGTGGTATAAATTTTGATCACTTGTTTGTGGTTTGTTGGATTACCGTCGGAGCTTGTGTTGGTCTGTCTCTTTGGCTGGGGTCCAGCTGGGATTGTTGGAGGTCCGGCTATTGGGTTGATGTTGGGGGCCCCAGCAATGCTTTGGTACCTCACAAAGGCGGATTGGAAAAAGTTGTTCAGGGAGTCAAGCGATTGCTGCTACAAGTGACGGTTGGAAGATGATCCCAGGGCGAATCAGTGTCCGCTCCACGTGGGCGCCTGCTCTGCACCACTCAGAGTTCATCGGTAAAGGAGCGAAAGTTGTATCTTTCATTGGGGACGTGAACGCGACATTCGATGCAACGTGTCGCATCCATCTGGTGGTAACTATTGTTTTCCTGCGCGTGTAGACGGCGGCAGTAAGAGAGCGGGAGAGGGGGGAGGGACTGCAGTAAATGTGGGAAATTTCTGTGGGCCATTTTGTGAATGGGCTCAATTATATCGACGAACGGCATCGATGTGTTGATGTGTCTTTTAAAAAGAAAAATGATTGAGGTTGTTTTGTACGGGCCGAGCTGAAAGCTGAAGATTCCCACCATACCGACTGAGCTTTTGTTTGTTTTGGTTAGAAACAGTGCTCGACGCCCCCATCGTTTTTATTTTATTTTTGCTTTGACGCTTCTGAAAAGGAATAAAATAATTTTAAAGAAAAAAACGACCAAATGTCGCTGAGCAACTGATATCGATTTATTTCCGGCTTTTCCCGTTTTTTTGTTGTTGACTTGATTTGGTTCCTACGAGAGCGCGTTCTACGGTGGTGTGTGCGTTGTCGTTGTTGTTGTTTCTTTTCTTCCCCAAACTAATACCTGCCATGATCCTCCGCGCGGAGGAGCCTGGTGGCTGCAGGGCCCTAAAGACTGCCACTTCGTCGGTTCGCAGCGGGAGCCCAGTTACTATTGCCTGTACTTCATGCACTTATTTGGGTATTTGTGCGTGTGTAATGACTGTGGGATAATTTTATGGTGACTGTGACTGTGTGTGTGTGCCGCATATGCGAAAATAAAGCTGCGATCTCCCATTGTGGGACCTTCTTGTGGGATATATACCTGGGTTCCACGCTGGTGCCCATTATATGCGGTGGCTGGCCGCTGCTGCGTGGAGTCCGCGTTGCAAATGTAGGGAAGCACCATATAACTTTTGTTTATGTCAGTTCCCCGCCCACTCATTTCTAACCGTGCGCAGGTGCCGCTGTGGTGTGGGAGAGCCACGGCAAGCAGCGATCTTTCTTGAGCTGTACAGGCAGACACGGACTCGGCAGGTCGTTGTTTGGCTGCTGTGGTGCGAGGGGGTGACGGTGATTGTGTTGGGCTTGGTCCAAGTCTGGTGCTATTTTCGTATTATGTATTTTTTTGTTTTGGTTTTTGTTTGTTGTCTAAAAAGGAAGGCGCTGGTGCTGAAGGCATGCGACCGTGTTTTGTTTCACTGAGCGGACGCCCACGGAGAGGCCCACTTTGACGTTGTTTGTTTGTTTGTTTTTGACGCGGGGACCTGCACTCTGACTGTGTGGTTGTGCCCACGGGTGCCCTCGTGAGGCAACAGGGCAAGTTCGTTGCACCCAGCTTTTTGGGTGTATGCCCTGCTTCCTGTGCTGTGAGCTGCCTAGGGGCGGCGAAGCCAGGGGATGTTGCGGTGCTCGGTGCGTGGGGTTACACAGGCACCCGCGCGGGGCCGGCGGTTGATGGGCGTGTGCTTTTTTTTTCCGCGGGGCAATAGTCACTTGGGCCGCTCCATGGTTGTGGTGCCTGCGCGTCTGCCGTACTTTGGATGGTGTGTGTGAGGGGCTGGGGACGCGCTTTGTGTCGCCCGAGGGCTTGCCGGCGACGACGGAGATTCCAAGGCCCGCATGGGTTCCATAGTGCACCCTCGCCGCCATCGGCGGTTCTCTCCGCAGGGCGCGGTGAGGCACAAATTGCGCGACTGTTGGCGAGGGGTCTGTTGGGGGCAGCTGCTGCGCGGTGTCGCGCGCATAGGGCCACGCTCTGTGTACAACGTGCTGGAAGAAGACCTTTTTTTTTCCGGCTTTTTTGACTTGGAGGGTGTTTTCTATTGCTTCACGCCGTGGGTGGAGGGCGCGTGTCTTCGAGAGGGAACGACGGGGTCGTGAGGAAAGGAGTTGCCGGCGATGCGTGTCGCCGTGTGGGTTGTGACAGGCGTGCTCCCTGCTGGGATTTTTACCGTGTCTGTGCAACACCCCCAGTGTCGCGGCCGTGCAGACGTCGGGGCGGAGGCGGTGTTTTTGTGGCTGCGCTCTTAACGGCGGCAGCTTTTTGGCGATGGGTGGAGGTGTTGGCGGCGAGGTCATTTTGCTGCAGGGGGAAATTCCCGAAGGGTCCTTCCTCCCCCTTTCTTTGTTGCTTGTTTGCAGACGAGTTTCACTGCGACTGGGCAGAACAGGCCGAATCGTGTGGATGCGACGGGCCGTACGAGGGTCTGATGCTGCGTTGCTGTGCACCTTGTTTCTCTATTCCGGCTACGCCTGACGCCCTTTGCGAGGGGGCATCTGAGACGTTTGGCTGCGGAGTGTGGTTGGTTGCCCCGGTGTTGCTTGCGGGGGTCAACTGTGGTGTTTGAGCGTGAGTGGTTGAGTCGCAGCGGAAAGGTTTGCCTTCTGCTGTGGGGGACCCGATTTCCGCTGCGGTGGTGTTGTGCGCGGTGAGGTGGAGGCGTGCGGCCTGCGCGCGGGCGCAACACTTCACGCAGCAGAAATGGGGACGATGCGCTGCCGACGGTGTTGCTTGCCTCGTTTTTTGTCGTGTGCGCCTCTGGGCACGCGGGTGGTTGTGGGCGTGTCTTGGCCGTGGCCGTTTTTGGTGCGTGCGCGTGTGTGTGTGCTCGTCGGTGCGCCAGACGCGAGCTCTTTTTTTTTTGGAGTCCTCGACCTCACACTAGACACGAATCGGAGTACAACGACACAATAAGCAAGTAAACCACAGAAGGAAAGAAGGGAACGAGACGCCACGCAAAGGAAAGACACGAGGAATGCACCACACTCTGCACATCCTGTTGCTGCTGCTGCTCTGCTGCTTCACCAGGCTCTTTTGCCGTCACTGAGCATCGCTGCATATTTGACCGCATTTCTCGCAAGGCTGGGCCCCCGATGAGGGCAATTTTGCGTGAATTGCCGGGGCGGGAGCGTGGTGGGACGCAGGTGTTTACTGCCTCTGTGCCTGACTGGGCGCCCATCCGTTTTAAGGTCTTCTCGGAGGACATGAACAATGCTTTAAAGTACTGCACCGCTGCGGGAGAGTCCCGCCCGGACTTGGGAGAAGGAATCCGTGTGTGCCAGCAGCAAGATGTTCTTACAACCGAAAAAAGTCCATCATCTTGAATCAGATACTTCCCCAAGCCATCAAGCTGCACGTGGATCGTCTCCACGTTCAACAGCTCACGGGCCCAGTGGTTGTTCCGAATTTTTCGGCTGGAACACCATGCGGTAATTTTGAAATACCCAGCTCCCACCACACGAGGGGTGTGTCCGGCGCGGACATGTTTTTGTACGCCGCTGCTGCACCGACTGAAGCTTCTACTTATGCGTGGGCAGTGGGGTGCGTTGAGTTGGACGATGGGCGTCCTGTGGTCGGGGTGATAAATATTGGCCCGCATTCAGTCACCAATTTGGAGTTCAGTGTTCGTATTGCGGCACATGAAATCGCGCACGCACTTGGGTTTGAGGTGGAAATTTTTGAGGCGAGGAATATGACACAGACGATGCCTGAGGTTCGTGGAAAGGAGAATGTGCTCGTTGTGTCTTCACCCAAGACGCTGGAAAAGACTCGTGCGCACTTCAACTGCACAAGTGCCCCTGGAATGGAGCTGGAGGATGAGGGTCAGGGTGCAACGCCATCGTCGCATTGGAAGAGACGCAACGCAAAGGACGAGCTGATGGCTGCCATCAACGGTGCCGGCCACTACACGGCGCTGACGATGGCTGCTTTTGAGGACATGGGCTTTTACAGGGCGCAGTGGAGCATGGCGGAACAGATGCCATGGGGCAGCAACTCCGGCTGCGAACTGCTGACGCAGAAGTGCCTGACTGATGGCGTCACCCGGTACCCGGAAATGTTTTGCCGCCCCAGAAGAAAGTTTTTGGTATGCACATCGGATCGTTTGGCTCTGAGCATCTGTAAGATTACTACCTACCCGGACCCCCTTCCGGCACAGTTTCAGTACTTCAGGAATCCCAGACGCGGCGGGCGTTCTGAAGACCTAATGGACTACTGCCCCTACAATGTCGCGCTCAGAGAGAGGCGGTGCATTGATGGTAAAGCAGGCGCTATTCGTGGAAGCCGCATTGGCCCAAGCTCAAGGTGCTTAAAAACGAGAAACCTGCATGATGTTTTTGGTTTCACTGGGGACGTGTGCGCCGAGGTGTCATGCAGCAATGACACGGTGCTTGTGCGGTATCTTGGGAATGACACCTGGCATGCATGCCCAGAGGGCAGCACTATCACACCAACTGGGTGGTTCAAGGGCGGGAACATTGTTTGCCCGAGGCGCATCGAGGTGTGTGCTGTCCACTAGGCACGCGGTGCTGGCGCTGATGCGATTCAGTTGGTATTAATTTTCCCCTCAATTTCAGTGGTCGTGCTGGTCACGGTTTTAGTATTAATGTGTTGATTGTAGCATAGGAAGCGCGCTGCGCAAAGGCTAAATTTGGGATGTTTGGGTTCGTGCTGAAGGCAGGCAGCTCCACGTGAGATCATTTTTTTTTTCCTTTTCCCTCTGAAGATAAAAGTGGTGCAAAAATAATGAAAAAGAAGTGTGTAATTTTTTCCTTTTACCATATGTGTCTAATTTGTGTGTCTTTAAAAAAAAACGGCTACTGCAAGTGAGGCAGAAGTAAATACGGCGGTGTGAATAACACACAACGCATGGGAAAAGTTATGTTCACCGTGTCGGAGATTGTTGTTTTTGTTTTTGTTTGTTTTTAGGTTTGTGAAGAGCAGTAATGATTTTTGGTTTGTTGTTATTGTTGTTGGGGGCCTTCCAGGGGAATGGGGCAGGTTTGGCGTGCGTGCGGTGGGGTAACGCACCGGTGTGATTCTCTCGGATGTGCCATTGCGTGTCATTTCTCTCAGTGCATGGTTTTTGAAGGACAATTAAGTTCATGGGCAGGTTTGTTTACTGCCTCTCGCACACACCACGCCGAACAATTTCTGAGGCAAATTGGCCAGCCACGGCTGAATGGCCCAACGGTTTTTTTACCACACTTTTGCTCGCCACATTCCCCGCAATTGAATTCATATTGCTGGTGACCTTTGAGCCGTGGGCGAAGCAACAAGAAAAGGAGAAAAAGAATTTTGCCTCTCTGTGGTATTCCCTGGCGTCTTTTGCCATTCTGGCGGGCCGAGAGTCCATGAGGGCAGTTGACGGTGCACCGGCGGCCTTTTCGTAGTGGGTAGCCGGCTCTCGGAGAGGGTGCGCCGGGGTAAGACCCCACTCGCAATAATGCGCCCGGGCCCCCACTGGCGGATGAAGGCTTCAGCGAGCAACGGCGTGCCCGCGTTTAGTTCCAGGCGGTGCAGCATCGGCTGGGAGAGGTGCAGCCGCTGCCTTGCCAAGAGGCTGCTCGGGCAGAAGGTTTTGGCCACACGTAGGCGCACTTGCGGCGATGCCTGCGGGGCGGGCGGTTGTATGCACGCAGTGCGGCTTTGCGACGACTGATGGAAAAACACATAGCGGGCACTTGTCGGTGGAACGTGTGGTCCGGCGGCTCCCCGGCACTGGACGGAGCCTGGGAGGCTTTGAGCGCACCGCACACAAAAACCTAACACCTCTGGCAGCGCCCAGGCCGCCGTTGCGAGAGCGAGTCAATGAGGGCGCCCCCGACCTCAGGTGCTGGAGGTTTGGAAAGCGTGGCAGAATGCTGCGCCATCTGCACCGAGGCACCTGCGCGCTGTGACGATCAACGTTCCAGGATGGTTTTGTAGAGGCTGAGTTCTGCGCCCCGCAATGCAGTTCTCTGCAGTGCTCGCGCTCGCCCGNGTACA